AGTAGTAGTAGTAGTAGTAGTAGTAGTGGTGGTAGTAGTAGTAGTAGTAGTAGCAGTTGTAGCAGTTGTAGCAGTAGTAGCAGTAGTAGCAGTAGTAGTAGTAGTAGTAGTAGTAGTAGTAGTGGTGCTGCTGCTGATGATGATGACGATGGTGATGGTGGTTCTCTTGATGATGACGATCCTGGTCATGGCCGTGATGATGCTTGTGATCAGGATGATGATGACTATGATCCTCATGATAGGTTTGTGAGGCAGGTTCACCGCCAGCTGGCAGGCCGGGACTCATCCTCAACTCCCTTTTCCGTTGCTGGCGGGCTAACGCTTGGGCGCGTGGATGTCGTGGAAACAGGAGCCCAGGCAGTCACAGTGTCAGCTGACACGTTGCTACTTGGCTCTTTGTGACCGTGTGGTTAGGATTCTGCAGCCTTTGTTGCAATGTGGCACTGCTTCTCGGATCGTCAGTACTCATGTTGTCTCCAAGGATCGTCCGGGAAGCGAACTGTACCGGTGCTGGTCAGTGCCAGTTCAGCTCGGTGAACCCCGAGGTTCCCAGCTTGAGTTGCAAACTGGGCCGAGGGCGGAGAGAAGATCGTGCCGAAGGCGTCGGGGGAACGCAAACAGTCAGTACACTATCCTCGAGCCACAATCACAACGATACACAAGAAACAAAAAAGCAAAGCTAAACCCTGTGGTGAGGCAAGGAAGCAATGTTGCCACATCTGTTTCCTTTCATGTACGGAGAGCCCGGAGAGAGCGGACACATTTTTGCCGCAGACATTCTTGTCCTCCCAGGTGCACTTGTTAGTGGTGAAGTTGGTTGCAAGACCTGCGGCGCAGGGAGGCCAGCGCAGTGCTCTGCTCCGTGCGGTGTGGTGCCGGGTGGTGCCGTGGCCAGTTCAGGATCCAGATCGACACTTTCAACAAGACTGTGCCGAATGCTGCCTGTGTCAAATGCCCGGGTGGAGCCCGGTTGTGCAAGGCCAACAAGGTGGTGATGCAAAGAGGCGGGCAAATTGAACTCCAAGCTTTGCCCGGGCGTCTTGTCAGTTGCAGGCTACATGGTCTCGCAGAGCAACCTGAGCCGGCACTACCATTGTCCGAACAAGTTTGCCTGCCCCGGCGGAGACTTGCCGGAGGCTTCCCAGCATTTCGTGACAGTGCGTGCGACATGCATCTGCAATTAGCACACAAAGCGGACATATTTAAGCACATCATTGTGCAGGCTGAGACGAAGATGTGCGCCGAGGGCTACTATGGCTTGGGCTGCACGAACTGTCTGGACAGCCACGGGCCTGTCGACAACACTGTGCTGTCATGCACGCTGTGCCCCACCACCAAGCTCCGAACTCAGCCTTTCTCGATTGAGGCGCTTTTAACTACTGCTGCTGCTATCTGCGGTCTGGCATAGCTACGGCCATTCCAGTTGCCGCCATCGTCCCTGCGGCTGTTGTGGCTGTCGTGGTCGTTCTCGTCCTCGTCCTAATCCCCGTCACTGTCGTCGTCGTTGTCGTCCTCGTCGTCGTCGTCGTCCTGGCTTCGACTGTCGCTCCGCTTGCGGTTCAGCGATGGTGGTGGTTGCAGCATCGATGTTGCGGGGGCCGGGGCTGGGGCTGCGGCTGCGGCTGAAGACCGAACTACTCATACATAAGCTGCATGTCATGTTGCTTTGCAGTACTCGATGTCATGCTTGTGGTGCCGCTGCAACTGTCCGCCTCCTTTACGCCTCACAAGGTCCACCTGGGCTTGGCAAGTGCCACTCAGTTCAGATGGAGCTGTGTTGCGACGGTCCGATAGGCTAGAGGTTCTCTGGGTATGGCGACGGGCCTCAGGACTGAGGGTAACTTGGGGTTCGATATTGAGCAGGGAATGCCTTCCTTTCGAAAGCTATGGCTCTGAGGTTCTTCTGCATTGCAAAAGATATTGTGATCTTTGTGCTGGCCATCTCGGGTGTCATGCAGGACCAGCTCCCAGCTGCAGATTGAACCTGGCCGCCCTACCCCCAGCCCCCAGAACCCTTTTCCGGAGGCTAGCGAGGAGGGGAAGCCTTCCACGGTGCTTTTAAACCAGCCTCTCGGCGAGATGCGCGTGCGTCGCGATGCGAAGCAGGTTGACCGCCAGATCCAGCTAGACGGGGCGGCTTGTTTTTGTTGCATCCCAGGCTGATGTCTTTCTCGACAGTTGCAGGCACGGCACTTTCCGCAGCAGGGGCCCCGGGCAAGCCGTTCCTATGCCTCTCCGGGGGGGTGCTGTTTGCTGACTCAGGTCAAGCAGACCAGCAGCTTCGGGAAGCTGAGCAACCACATTCAGAGCATGCTCGTAAGCTCGGGCATGATGGTGGACGTGGTGCAAGGGGCACCCGGGCATAAAGTACAGCTAGCCCCCGCCCTTCCCCCCGAAGCCCAAGCCCTATTACCCCAAACTACAACACCCAAGCCGTAGTCCGTAGTCCCTGAACGGATCTGAGCACTTTGCTTGTCCGAAGACATGTTAGGGATCCTCGCCCAGGGCCAGAGCAGTGGACTCTCCACTGTTTGCCTCGCAGAATATGTGGGCCTGCCAAAGACGCTCCCCGCCTGATACTTTTGTCTAGAGTCTAGGCGATTCCGCAGAGGTAGCGGTGTGTCTGTGTTTTTGTTTGTACATAGAAGTGTATACACGCATACATACACATGCACATACATTGATACGTTTAGAGGCAGACCTGTGTGTAGAATGTGTATGTGACCCATGCATGGTCTGCATCAGCAGCAGCAGCAGCAGCAGCAGCAGCAGCGCGCAAGCCTGCATGCAAGCATGCATGCATGCACGCATACACCCGCAAGCAGAGAGGCGGCATACGTGCCCATGCATGTGTGTATCAATGCGTGCATGCTGGCATTTGATACGGAGGGTGTATATAACTGTATATATATATATGCATGCACCGTCTTCCAGGGTTGCCCGATCCTCTGAATTTACTTTTCACAAATGCCTTCAGGCAGTATTATAGCAGCGCATGGCCACACGTTCATGCGTTGCTTCAACTGCGAAGTGAACTTGCTCGTGTGTGTACATACACTACATATGTAGATATACGCACACATGCACACATGCATATACGTACATATATATATATATGTGCAGACACCTATACCTGTACTTGTACATATACATATACATAGACAGATACAAAAGCACACACATATACATGTACATGTACATTTGCACGCTTATATACATACAGATACAGAGACATATACAGATGCATTTACACATGCATATGCACATACACTGTATGTATGTGTATGAGTCTGAGCCTGAGTCTGAGTATGAGTATGAGTATGAG